CGCATTCTTAATGTTAGTAGTGAATAGTTATAATTTTGTTTTGTTTTAAACAGTCGTTATCATACGATCATGGCCCTTCTTCACAAAAGACTTATGTAACACATGTACATTATAAAACACATATCTCATGATGGTGTAATAGGGAAAAAAACTAATACTTGTCAAATGTGTAGTGTAGCATCGTAACGTGAACTTGTTCGTATATTAATGTGAAGAATCAGCCACTTTTGGAGCCTCCGTCAGATTAAAGTCTGAGGGGCAAAGCCAAAATGTAGCTGGTAATTTTCATTAATGTACTTGTAAGAGTATATGGATATAATAACTATCAGCTATGTGATATTATTTATTATAAATAGACACATTTATATTTTGTTAATATTTATAAAACTTACTATGTATATTTGAGTATATGGTTATAGAGGGGCATGCAAGCTTGTATTCATGTTAAAAGAGATATTTAGGTACATGTATGTATATGTTATTAATTTTTACATTGTGAGCTACCTATTATTACATAAAATTATGTTTCGTTTTCAGGTATCTGCGTCCACTAGTGTTGGGGAAGGTGAATACAGTGATGAATTGAATACAAAGACAACAGAAACAAGTATGTATCATACACGAATCTTAACTATTTATTTTTACATATAGTACCTGTGTGTTTATTTGTTGCAAATATTATATACAAATCATATCATATGTTACAGTTCCTCATGAACCTGCCAGCATTGATGTACAAAGCACGACTGAAAACAGCATCATATTCAGATGGACAGATCCTACCATATTCAGTGGTGATATTTCACAATATAGAGTAAGTAATTAATGTTCATTTGGATCTAAAAATACGTTCTTATAGATTTACTTCATTCTGTACATGCTTGATTCTTGTCTTGTTATATTCTATGTCTGTTTCGATATACAAATTAGGATGGTATTTGCAGATTGGTGGGCGATTTACCATCCAGCAGGATTAAGTCCAGTAATTGGGTCTATACATATATTTATACTGCTATACATTTTGGTGCTTTCTGTAGAGTATAATATTATCACCCTCAAATTTGAGATGACAAAAAATTAACTCGAACTTATAAACTATAAAAGTATTCTTGTATCCCTGCTGTGACATTTATTCAGCTTGGCTGCATCTTATTGTAATTAATAATTTTCTTAATAATTTCACTTTATATTTTTATGGATGTGGTGGATGTGACACAGATTTATTCATCTTGTGATGATATCTTCAATTCCCTGATTGAAATGTGCTTTGCTAAAGCGGAGTTTATTTTATAATAGATAACATATAAATCATCTGAATCTGTTTATCAACTACCGTGTAGGAACTAAGGATATATTGTTGAGGGCAGTATTCATACACACACTTTAGAAGAATTACCACCAGGAACACAGTTTGAAATATCAGTGAGTGCAAGTACATCAAAGGGATTTGGTAAACCTAAATCAATTATCTCTGGAACTAAAATTGGTAAGTTCATCTTACTTTGTATGACTAAGTCATAATAATGTGAATGGCAACTGAAAGCTAATTTTGAGCCAAATGTTTTTATTTTCAAATTACATGCATGATCGTTCCAATGGAAGTGTCAGGCATGACATCAAGATCATTCTGACAAACACTATTCCTGCTCATATTGGAACATCAAGCTCAGCAACTTCCAACAACTAGTGCACTTACTATTATTTTATTACCAGGGTGACATATTCCAAATTATTATTTATATAGAATAATGGTCACAGGTGTGAGGTATAACTGATAGGAGTCGTTTAATGATTTATATAATATGTCAAAGTCAATGTGGTCAGATTAACAGTAATTAAAACTACATGTAGGCGAGTAACATTTAAACAAGAAAATAATTGCATTTATAGGTATTGATGTTTCTGATATTCTGGAAGAGCCTCATGTGACAAATGAACCAATATTAACAGAAACTACTGCTACCATTGATTTGAGAAAACTGAAATCAAACACAAACCTAAAGACTGACACACCACTTATGTAAGTTACATGCATATTTTAATATGATAGATATGCTAACTACATATATGATAGACACATCATTGAGATTACATATAGTATATTACATAGGTATAATAATGAGTTTGTCCCTGCGTTGTCATCGTTTCAGTCGTCTTGAACCATTCCCTATCTAAGGAATAAATGTATTATTAGTATAATATTGGTAATGTTGCTGTAGTTAAATATTATCTTCAAAACCTGTATTTTGTATGTCAAGTTTTTTCTATGCCTGCTTGAAACCTATCAACTCATCATCTAGTAATTGTTCCTAATCGTACATGTAGAGTTATATTGCAACATTCCTAGATCTGTTAAGAAATGTGAGTATCTTATATAAATAAATCTATTACTCCCCCAAAGTACGTGATTGTACGTTTTCCGCCGTGTTTTTGGTCAATATTTAATGCTGGGCAACCCTTTCCCAAACATGTTCTGCTTATATATGTAATATTGTGTTTATTATTCCACCCATTAAGTGACTTGTTCAATAACTGTTAGATATGTAAATGTTTGTCAAATATATTTTAAAAAGTGTAGATATTCAACGTTATACAACATGGCTTGTTATCCTTAGCAGCAATGCACTTTCATTATATGCCTGTACGGTATATGCTTTAGTATTGGTTGAATAATGAGCCATGCCAGTAAAATTTGCTAGTATCTCTGCACTAAATTCCTTCATTCTCTTACCCAGCATTTTTACTAAAACATTATTAAACACAAATTCCTCATTAAGAACGATTTAAAGTAAATATTATGGATGATATGTTTATGCGCAATTGTAATCTCTTGTTTATTGGTTAAGGGAATAACACATGATAGGTGGATCCTTTATACCCATTTCACGTTATTTGTCTTTATTAGACCCCATTGAATGCAAGCCTACACGAGGACTTATGTATTGAATATTTTCCGCCTTACGCCATGTTATCCGCCAAAACATAGGCTTATTCAATCTCTGTTATTTCATTCAAATTGACCTCACTAGTTTAATGATGCACATCATTTCGATTCAACGTAATTACTCTTATATGCTTTGACTGGACAAACAAGGTATTGACATCACCCGTGTTACTGAGTCTCATTTTGTTTTGCTATGTTTTTTGTCATTTACCTATTTTTAGATACCACTATTGATTAAATTTGGTATAATTGTCTTGCATATACTTTCTATGAAATTCCACTGACTGGCAGCAATTAAATTACAACATTTCAACGTTATCAATATATTCAACAAATTGAACATCATACATAATGAAATAGGATGCACACCAGTTTGCTCCATGATTTGATTCAAAATGACCAACTGGCGGCCGTGTTTCCTTTTTGTAACCTAAACAAAATTTCAGATGGTCCGATAACGATATATAGAGTATATATGCATGTTGAGCTGTTAATCATTTCAAATGACGTTCGGTCAACTAGAGGCTATTTTCTTACATTCATCAGACATGACTGGTTAGATGCAAAGTTGGTATTGTCTTCCCTCATGTTTTGGATCACAATAGCGAACTGTTGTTTTAGTTTCCTCGTGCTTCCTACCATATTACAGTTACATTTCCATCATTTTGTTTAAATATGATATAGAGCCAAAATTTAAATTGTGTTAATATTTATATTTAGTTTGGGGTTTTAATTATCTGATGACCGCCAGCCATTTATTGTCGAAAATCTCAAATCACAAAATATTTACATATTATCAACCATTTCTCAATAATGCCTTTGTCAATTTCATTTAAACTAATTTTGTGCTTTCCAACATTCTTGTTTTTTATTTGATTCAAAATGTTGGTCTTATGCATTCATAGTCAGTTATC